TGCCCCTCCCCCTGCTCATGTTCCCTCTCCCTCTCTCTCTCTCCAATATATAAATACCATCTTGAAAAAAAAAAAAAAAAAGCCACCTCCTAAAACTGTACACGCTCCACATCCACATTACTCTCCACCCCTTTTGCTAATCTGGTTTTTCTCGGTAGTCTTACCGCCACATGACATTCTAAGGGTACATGTTTGTTTATCATGTTTCCTCCCACCGGAATGAAGCGCCATGTGAACAGGCTCCTGCAGCAGCTGACACGCAGCTAGTAAACAGCAAATACAGCTCAATGAGCTGCTGATGGGAAGACACGTCCACTTACACATAGTCTAAACACCGTGTGAGCAAACGCAGTCTGCACCAAGCAAAGGTCTGAGACCCAAGGGCCTCTTGTCACAAGTCTGTCTTCTTCCCCTACAAGAATAGGGGGCCATACGATGAGCTCCATTTTTACAATAACTTGGGCTTCCACTTCCCATCTCAAAAGGAACAGTTAAAATGCTATAAACATCATAAACTTGCTTAGATTATTTGGTTTCAGGTAGTTCAGTGAAGGGATTAAGAACTCTGGAATCAAAGGTGCCTGGGCAGCTCAGTCCGTTAAGCATCTGCCTTCAGCTCAGGTCATGATCTCAGGGTTCTGGGATTGAGTCCCCTGTCGGCTCCCCGCTCAGCAGGGAGTCTGCTCCTCCCTCTCCCTCTGTGATCCCTCTTGCTCTTGTTCTCTCTCAAATAAATTGATGAAAAAAAAAGAACTCTGGAATCAAACTCTGGATTAGAATCCAGAATCCACTTCCTAGTTGTGCATCTTTTAGCAAGTTAGTTAATTTCTACCAGCCTCAATTTTCTTATCTGTAAAATGGGGTGATATTACCAACCCTGCTATTAAATGCTTAGCACATATTGAACGCTCAGTAAATGTTAGCTGGTATCATAATCATTCTCTGTCTCTTGGCTAAGGAGGACAGAAAGGGTGAAGAACGGAAGTGGGGGCTATATCCCACTTTCCTACCAGGCTACAGGAAGAAACCTAGTTATAGAGTGGCAGCAATCACCTACTGGGAAAAAAGTGAGCTTAGGTTCTGAGGCCTGTTACAAAAAAGAAAAGGTCACAGAGATGGAGAGGTCAGAGTGGAAAGGCCAGGGGTGGGAGTCTCTATGTTGGCTCGTCTTTCAATGTTCCAAAAATCTGCTTGTTCCTTGTCTGGAATTCCTCATTCTCCCTCAATCTGTTCTTCTCTCAAGCTAGAAACCAAGGAATCATCTTTTTCTCTCCTCCCCCACCCCCACCTCCTTTTCATCAACCTGATCGTTAGAAGTGGGTTAACTCAGATCCTCAGTATTTCTGCTGTCTGCCCTCCTCCATCCCCACTGCCAATGCCTTCCTCCGACTCTACTGCTCTGCTCACTTTAGAGAACAACACAAGCCCCTAATCTGTCTCCCGGCCTGCAGCCACCTTCTTCCAACCCACATTTACACCTTGCCAGTCACCTTTCTAAGCCCTTCACACTCCTCAGAGGCTTCTTAACAGTCCTACTGACAAAGTGCAAACTCCTAAGTACTTCTGAGACCCTCCGAGATCTGGTGCCTGCCTACCTGCAGCCACTCCCCTAGCAAAATCCTGCCTCCAGGCCCTCATTCTTGCGTTTTCCTGGGCTCCCCCCTCTCACACCCACTTCTAAGAGCCTGTCGCCTGGCGACTGCTCAGCATTACTTTTTCTTGAAAGTCTCCATTACAGCCAGCACTGCCCCACCAGGGGTCCCTTCCTGTTTTTCTTACTGTCTTGTGCATCCCTCCACAAATGCACTTAGTACCCTAATTGTTTCCTACCTATCTCGACCTCTACCACACCTCCTGCTTAAACTACAATTTCTGTAAGAAAAAGGACTTTCTCCTAACCTACCTAACACATCACTGAGGATACACAGCATCCTTAGGAAAAAAAAAGTTTGTTGAGTGAACAATTTTGGAGGGGGCCTGGTGAAGGGTTAATACCGAAAAGACTATAAACTTGATCACATCATGAATGTATTCATGAGAAACAACACTCCTACAGAAAAACTATGTAGATCAAGCACATTAGTAGGATATGTACATGGAAGCTGCAGTGAATTTACTGGCAGTTGTTAAGCAATAAAATGTAGCAAAAAGAGTTTTTAGATCAGGCACAAGATCTAATTTTTAGATCAGGTTTGTATTCCAACTCAACCAATTCTATGCCAAATCACTATGGACAAGTCAGTTAACCTAAATCTCAGTTGCCTCATCTATAAAACAAGGAAAATTCAAGGATCTTCTTGGTCACACTGTTGTAAGGAATGAGACAATGGTTGTAGAGTGGCTGGCCCTGAGCAGGTTTCTGAGGCTATTAAGAAATACCGCTCCTGTTCCACTTAAAGAATAGGGCTAAAAAGTGCAAGGTCACATATTCTGCACTTGGGAAGGAAGACTTACCACTCTTCTAAAACCTTGACCACACCCTAACTATCCCAGCCAGCCATCTTGAAGATGAACTAGGTCATAAAGAAGATTTAGCCCCCCCCAAAAAAAAAGGAAAAAGAAAGAAAGAAAGAGAAAAGAGGAAAAAGCAAATCACTTCCATGCAATTTCATCACCACAGCTGAAAAACAGTTTAAAATACCTGTCCTGCCCTACTCATAGCATCATTTCAGTAGGGAGAACACAGGAGTAGGCCACGGACAGAATGTAATGTGCATAATGAAGCCTTGGAATGTGGGTTCCTGAAGAGAATGAACTTAGTCATGGATCTGCTCCCCAGAGCAATGAAGTCACTGTAATGTGCCACATAAATAACAAGCACCAAGGAACTTAAAGAACTACTCTACACAAGATAAGAGAAGTGTAAGAATTTCAGGTGATCTATGAGAGGGACCCATAATCTAAAATCCTCTAAAGCTACCAGTCTGGTTTGGACCGACCTCTATTTTGCAGGGACTGTATCTGCAGACGTTTTCATTTTGTTTGAATATAAAACTCTCCCTTACCTAACTGCCTGATTTAGATCGAAAGATCACTGTCTTACCTGTTTTCACCGAGATGTATTTTTGAATTTTCAGCAAGAGAAATGTCTTATTTTCTAACCAAATGAATGCCACCTACCGTATCTGTGACACAGTTTCCACCAATAGAGTCACAATACAAAGGCAAAACCTCTGGAAATGTCTTTGTTGAGAACCGTTCACTCAATCCCAGAATTAAGGAAATGAATCAAAAACAAAAACGAAAACAAACACTTAATTTGTTCTAGGTTCAGCTGAGACTGAATTACCAATTATTGAACTGTTCCTCTTTGTTCAGGCCACGTAATAGTTGAAAGTAATTTTATGTTGATCTAATATTAGTAAATTTAATTTTTCACATTGATTTCACTATTCCGTTGACCTTGAAAATCTCCTCCACAATGATTACATTTGTTCCTATACAGTCACAAAAAAGTTACAACTCCCTCCAAGACTGGTTAAAGTGAAGTGCCACAGTGTAGACTATGCATATCTTTAACTGGTCTCTACGCTTTATTTGTCTGACGATTTCTTGGTATGAAAAACCTCTGAACCAGCAGCAACTTTGAGAACGTTGAGAAAAATAAATAGTTTCTGGAAGCAAAGGGCTACTAAAAAACAGAATCTCTTTGCCTTGATTTACCCATTAGAATTACTATTGAAGAAGGGGGGAGCAGATTTTTAAAAATTACCTAAAACAAAGTGCCTTTAAGGGGATCTCTTGAGAATTCCTACCGGAATGAAAGAAACCGTTCAACAGTCTTCTAATTTTAGTCAGATTACATTCCTGATGTATTTGAGAAAACAAAGTCCATAACACAGAATGAGCACTCCTGACTCTCCAAATAGCCAAGCATCACAACCCACAAAATTATGTTTCCCCTCCCACGTGACATCTGAACTCACCACTTGCAAGTCCCATCTCTGGATAAATGTAGTCCCTAAGTAAATATATTAACTACTCTAGCTAAATCTGAAGCATGTAAGTCTTGTAGTTTAGCCGACCTGATGGATGGCTACTTTCCCAGTACTCTAGGGAAGTTTTTTAAGAACTAGTGAAAGAAATGAGGAGGTAGATGGAAGAGAGGGAAGCCAGCAGGGGTCCTGAAAGGGAAGCTCCTCATCTGGAAAAAGGAAGGGAAAAGTGAGTAGAATCACAGAAAATTCCTTGTACCCTAATTGCCACTGTTTTCATGACAACCTTAATAAATAATCTTTAAAATATCAAGAAAGAGATCTGTAAAACTCCTTTCAGAAATGATAATAGGGGAAGTTTACAAAGTCATTTGCTACCATTTGCTTCCTGTTCAGTGTCTGCTACAGCAAAAGACAAGTTTGAAAGGGCCAAAAAAACTAGAAAAAGGCTGAATGAAAGAGAAGTATGCCAGGGGTCATCAGTTCTTGTTACGTTACAGATTTTAAATGGAATTCACTAGGCTTTTGAGAAAAAATATATTTTGTTACATATCAAAGAATCTGTCTGTAGGCCACCCCCAAACACATATGTTTAATCAACTTATACAACGCAACAGCCACACATACTGGGGATTTCAAATACTGCCTTTAAAAACATACACCCATACACTGTAATCCCACCCAAAATTATTCTTTAAATCTCTGCAGTAAGGCGCGCGTGCACGCACACACACGCGCACACACACACTTAACTTGATGTAAATCTAGCCCTTCTTGCTTAAACACCCCGAGGAAAAGAATGAACGCCTCAATATGCTCTCCTCTTCTTCAGACCCTAAAAGACTCGAAAAGAAGCAAATGGAGTTCAAAACGAAGAAAGAAGGCAAGGTAATACAGGAGAATACAACTGGAGACCCGCTCGGGGGCTCATTTTATTCTTGGAAAATGTCATCTCCATTCTTTCCCCAAACCCAAAGGCCAGGCACCACTGGTGCAATACCATCCCTGTCCAAAGCGCCAAAGAGTTGCCAACTAATCTCCCAAGGTGTCCCCCAACCTCCTCACCTCATCAGCGCTCAGCTCCTCCATCGCTTTCCTCTTAATGGTGAAAGGCGTTAGGGAGAGATCCTTCTGTTCTTGAGACCAGGGCGGGAGGAGAGTGGAAGGTGTCTATCGGGCTGTCTGGTCCCCCGAATGGGGGAGGTTTCAGAATTGCATAGTCAGAGGTTAAAAAATAAGAACACGAGAGGCACTGAACCGCCTTGGCGTCGGTCACTCCAATCGCCCCACAGACTCCTACAGCTGCTTGTGCCCCGAGCAGCCTCCTTTGGCCACCACCGCGGCTGCTCTACAGGGTTATCTTAAGGCGCCACTATTGCCCTCTGCTTCCCAGGTTACCCAGACCAGGGACTCGGGTCTCCAGCACGTCTCGTGCCCTGAGCCTGCTGTGTCTTCGTGGTGGTGGCGCGGCAGGTGCGCCTCCTCCAGCAGATCCTGCTCTCCTTCCTACCCTTTGCCCCAGGCGGGAACTGTTCGACTGCAGAGTGGATGCCCCGAGGTAAGGCGACCCCAGAACCGCCGAGGCAGAGCCCAGCACTGAAGAGGGAAGCCCCTCCCCTCCCAAAGCAGGCCGGCCACGCCCCGCCTCCACGCCGGAGCCCGGGCAGGGGGGAGGGGGAGGACGGGACTCGCGATGCTCTGGATGGAAGAGTAAATCCTCCTACCCTTCCACCCCTACTCTTACCCCCTCGCCCCACCAAGTATTATTCATCAAAACAACAGGGCGGCCATCTTTGAAAGGGATCACGTGACCCCGCCACAGAGGCGGGGCTCCTGGCCCCAGGACGAGGCAGCCAATGGGCCGCGGGCGTCGCGCCGCCGATTTCCTCTCGCCTGCGTCTCCTCCCGCCCCCGCCCCACCCCCTCCCCCGCAGCAGCGCCGCGCGGGGGAGGGGCGAGCGGGGCTGCGGGCGGGCGGGGCGGCGCGGTGCCATGGCGACGGCCCGGGGGTGGCGGGTGCGGCAGGCGGGTCCAGGTAGGCTCCCGGGAGAGCCTGGCGGGGCGGGAAGCTGGGCGACTGGGGGACACCGCAGCGCCTCCGTTATTCCCAGGCGCTTGCTTTTTGGCGACTCCACGATGCAGACAAGTAAAGGAAAAGGGAGGACGTCTTGCTTCTGGGGCCAAGGTTCTCTAACGTTGTCCGCTCACGGCCTGAGAAGCCCTTGGACACTTGTCCACGTCCGCAGAGAAAGCCCGTTTGGAGGAAAACGAAGACGAGTACAACTTCATTTTATTTGCCTTTGGGCTTTTCGAGAGTTCCTGCTTTGCCTTTTTTTTTTTTTTTTTTAACGTGTTCCAGAATGATGGTGAAATTTGGAAGTGCAAATGATCGGGAGACCTAAAAAATGTTGGAGTATCTGCGCACGTACCAGAAAGGCTTTTCAAGCCAATGGAGAGAAATCATCCTTACCTGCTCAAGTTTTTAATTGAGATATAATTGACATAGAACATCCTGTTCGTTTTAGATGTACAGCATAATGATTCGTGGGGTTTGGGGTTTTTTCTTTCTTTTGTTTTTAAGTATTTAAATTCCAGTTAGTAAAAATAAATAAATAAATCCCAGTTACCTAATATACAGTGTAATGTTAGTTTCAGGTGTACAATATAGTGATTCAATACTTCCATGTAACGCCCAGTGCTCATCACAGGTGCACTCCTTCATCCCCATCACCTATGCACCCATCCCCCCACCCACTTCTCTGATAACCGTGGAGGTAAGAGTCGGAAAAAAAAAAAAAAAAGTCTGGTTCTATCTTTGCCTTTCTCTCTTTTTTTTTTTTAAACTTTGCTCATCTGTTTTTTATCTTAAATTCAACACATGAGTGAAATATGATATTTATTTCTCTAACCCACTTACTTCACTTAACATAATACTCTCTAGCTCCATGTTGTTGCAAATGGCACGATAACATTTTTTTTTAAGACTTTATTTATTTATTTGACAGACAGAGATCACAAGTAGGCAGAGAGGCAGGCAGAGAGAGAGGAGGAAGCAGGCTCCCCGCTGAGCAGAAAGCCTGATGCAAGGGCTGGATCCCAGGATCCTGGGCCTGAAGGCAGAGGCTTTAACCCACTGAGACACCAGGTGCCCCATAACATTCTTTTTCATGGCTGAGTACTAGTCGTGTGTGTGTGTGTGTGTGTGTGTGTGTGTGTGTGTAAATATATACCATCTTTTTTTTTAACTTTTTTTTAAAAGATTTTATTTATTTATTTGACAGACAGAGATCACAAGCAGGCAGAGAGGCAGGCAGAGAGAGAGGAAAGGAAGCAGGCTCCCCGCTGAGCAGAGAGCCTGACTCGGGGCTCTGGATCCCAGGATCCTGAGATCATGACCTGAGCCGAAGGCAGAGGCTTTAACCCACTGAGCCACCCAGGCACCCCTATATACCATCTCTTTATCATTTCATCAGTGGATGGATTCTTGGGCTGTTTCCATAATTTGGCCATTGTAAATAGTGCTGCTATAAACATCAGGTATCCCTTTGAATTAGTATTTCGTATTCTTGGGTAAACACCCTTAGTGCAAGTGCTGGATCCTAGGGTAGTCCTATTTTTAACCTTTTGTGGAACCTCCATGCTATTTTCCGGTGGCTGCACCAGTTTGCATTCCCACCAACAGTGCAAGAGGGTTCCTTCCCCTTTGTCCGCATCCTCATCCACACCTGTTTTTCTTTGTGTTGTAGATTTTAGCTGTTCTGACAGGTGTGAGATGATACCGCATTGTAGTTTTGATTTGCATTACAACGCAATGATTTGGCATGTGTATCCATATATTGCAAAATGATTACCAAAATTGTTTAGTTAACATCTGTCACCATATATAATTACCATATTTTTTCTTGTGACGAGAACTTTTAAATATTGTCTTAGCAATTTTCAATACGATATACAGTATTGTATACATATAGCAAGTCTATGATACAGGGGTTTTTTTTAAAGATTTTATTTATTTATTTGACAGAGACACAGCGAGAGGGGAACACAAGCAGCGGGAATGGGAGAGGGAGAAGCAGGCTTCCCACTGAGCAGGGAGCCTGATGCAGGGCTCGATCCCAGGACTCTGGGATCATGACCAGAGCCAAAGGCAGCCACCCAAGCACCCCAGTGATACAGTATTGTTAACTATAGTCCCCATGCCCTACATAACATCCCCAGGATTTATAACTGGAAATTTGTACCTTTTGACCCCCTACCCATTTGGCCCAACTATACCCCTCTCTGTCAATCACCAATCTGTTCTCTGAAGAATACAAATATTTTGTAATATAAAAATCTAAACTGAGCGGTCCGCATAGCAGTATCATGAAATTCTAGGTTTTGCCACATCCTGAAGAATATACTATATTGGATTTACTAAACCATAATCTTAAAGATCGTATTATACAATTAAATGAATTTCTTTTTTTTTTTTTTTACCCCCTTTGGTACTTGCTTAGAATAGTAACCTGACAGCTAGATATGCAAGGAATTTGTGAGTAAAATGAGACCACTGCTGGCTTTGCATATTATCTGCTCTCCAGGAAAGGAGTTCTATGTAAGCCAGAATTTGAACTCACAGTGACATTGATGTTAATACGTTCATGTCTCACTTCTTTTTTTAAACATCCTTATTGTAATATAATTCACATACCATACAATTCGCTCATTTAAAGTATACAAAGATCAGTATATTCACAGTTGTTCGAACATCACTAATTCTAGAACAATTTTATCACTGCCCACCCCCAAAGACTACATACTTACTAGCAGTCACTCCCTAATGTCTCCTCTCCTCCCTGTGGGCAACCAGCAATCTGCTTTCTGTTTTGATTTCTTCTCTAGATTTTATTTAGTTATTTGACAGAGAGAGCACAAGCAGGGGGAGAGGCAGGCAGAGGGAGAGGGGGAAGTAGGCTCCCCTCTGAGCAGGGAGCCCAATGCCGGACTCAATCCCAGGGCACCAGGATCATGACCTGAGCTGAAGGCAGACACTTAACTGACTGAGCCCCCCAGGCGCCCTTGCCTTCTGTTTCTGTGAATTTTCCTATTCTGGATATTTCACATGAGTGGAATCCTACAGTATGTGGCCTTTTGTGTCTAGCTGCTTTCATTTAGCATATACTTTCAAGGTTTATCTGTGTTGTAGCATATATCAGTATTTCCTTCATGCCAAATAATATTCACTATATGAATATGTCACATTTTCTTATCCATTCTTCAGTTAATGGACATCTGAGTTGTTTGCACCTTCAGGCTATTATGAATGATGCTGCTATAAACATTCATGTACAAGTTTTTTATGTAGACGTGTTTTCATTTCTTTTGGGTATATATCTAGAACGAGAATGGCTGGGTTATATATTTAGCTTAAAATAAAAAAAAACATTTTATTTTTAAGTAATCTTTACACCCAATGTGCTCGAACTCACCATCTCCAGATCGAACTGTGAGCTCTACTGACCGAGCCAGCCAGGTGCCCTGTAGATGTTTAACTTCTTGAACAACTGACAAATTTTTTGCCCAGCAGCTGCACCGTTTTGCATTTTTAAGATTTTATTTATTTGACAGAAAGATAGAGAGCACAAGTAGGCAGAGTGGCAGGCAGAGGGAGAGGGAGAAGCAGGCTCTGTGCTGAGCCAGGAGCCCGATGTGGGACTCGATCCCCGGACCCTGGGATCATGACCTGAGCTGAAGGCAGCCGCTTAACCCACTGAGCCACCCAGGCGCCCCCCATTTTGCATTTCTACCAGCGATGTATGAGCATCCCATTTATCAACCTCCTCTCCGGCACTTGTTACTGTCTGTCTTTTTTATTACAGCCACACTTGTAGGTGTGAACTGGGGTCTCATTGTGGTTCTGCTTTTCAGCTCTCTAAGGGCTGATGAAATTGAGCCTCTTTTTGTGTGTTGAGCAACCATTTGTCTATCTTCTTTGGCCAAACAGAGTTCACTTTTCATTGAGTCACTTGTATTTTTCCTGTTTTCAGATGTCAGAGTTCTTTACATATTCTAGATCCCAGTCCCTTATCAGATGTGCTATTTGCAAATCTTTTTTGAGTACAGCTGACACAGAGGTACTTAATTTCAGGTATACAATGCAGTGATTCGACTGCTCAGAACGTGATGCTGTGCTCACAAGTGTGACTGTTGCTTGTCACCATGCAATGCCATTACAGGACTGATTGTATTCCCAATGCTGTACCTTTTGTTGCTGTGACTCACTCCATAGCTGAAGGCCTGTATCTCTGACTCCCCTTCACCCACTTGGCCCATCCCTTCATCCCCCTTGCCCTACCTACAGGTCTGATTGCAATTTGCAAACATGTTTTCCCATTCTGTGGGTGGTCTTTTCACTTTCTTGCTGGTGTCATTTGCAGCACAAAAGTTTTTATTTTGATGTAGTCCAGTTTATGTTTATTTCTCTTGTCGTTTTCACTTTTGATATAACATTCACTTGTACAGGGCACGTTTAATCATTTAATGTTGTCTTAGCCAGTTTGGGCTGCTGTAATGGGACACCACAGACTGGGTGGCTTTAGAAACAACAGAAATGTCTTTCTCAGTTCTGGAGGCTGGAAATCCAAGGTCAGGGTGCCAGCGTGATCGGGTCTGGTGTAGACTGCTGAATTACGGTGTCCTCATGTGACTTAGAGCAGAAAGAGGGAACAAGTTCTCTAGTGACTCTTATGAGGGCACTAACCTCATTCGTGAATACTTCACCTTTATGACCTTATCTAATGCGAATTACCTCCCGGAAGTA